TGTCAAATACATATATATATATATATATATATATATATATATACACATACATACATATATATACCATTATTATATCATAATAGTTATTATCTGTCAGTATAGTATACATTTTACAGCAGAAAGAATTAATCTACTTCCCCTTAATGAAGAATATAGGATAGATAGGCAACATTCTATCTACTCCTTACATTTCCAATGGTCATTCCAACTGCCATTTTGTTACAGAAAAGAGTTAAGGCTCAGACCTCGTAGCATCAAGTTCCTATGGATTGCTCTCCAACTTCTGTGGCTCTGGCTTTTGGAATCCCTTCACCATATTCCACAGGTATTAGTAGAATGAGTTATGATTTCCATGCTTGTAAATGACATTGAGAGCCATAATTTCTAAGTTAGGAGGCTAAATATTAACAGTAATGCTTTGTTTTTATCTAACATGGGAGTTTTGCAACGGTCTCCTGAATATCTTTCTCTTCTCCTTTCAGTGTTCCATAACCAGGGTTTCTGAATATTTTGGCTCCCTAACCCAATTCCTTTCTATCCTCTTTGCTTTGCAACTCTCGTTCAGTGATTTACATTTGCTCTATATAGCCTTTCCTCAGCCCTTATCTACCATTCCTGCTACGAAGAGTACTCTGACATTTAGAAAACAATAGAGATTTCTTAGAAATTCCCAACTACAGATGAACAAAAGCATATATTATTACACACGTACCTGCTTTACAGATGAAACCGAAGCAGAGGAGTTATAAGACTTGCTCTAGGTCATAGAGAAAGTCAATGGTGAAGCTGGGAGTATTTCATGATCTCATATTCTCAGACTAGTGCTGGAAACCCAAAGACAAAAGTGCCTATGACTAGAATGACTGTATTAGGTGTTTAAGTTTCTTTATTTTCAAAATTTTTTTATTAAAGCACATAGATGTGCAGCATAGGTTATTGCTTGCAGTTTTTCAAGAGCTTGAGTAAACAGAGAAATCTAGAAATCTGTAAGAAGTAGGGCTAGGGATGTTGAGACATTTCTGACTTCCCCATGCCTTTGTAACACCATGGAGAGAAATAAATTTCAAAGGGTCCTTGAGTTCTTCATTTCAGTTACTTCAAGGAAGCCTGCCTGGAGCCTATGTTATGTTAGCTGTTGTTGTTATGTGCCGTTGAGTCGGACCCTGAGTCGGACCCGACTCGTAGCGACCCCTCCCTGGGTTTCTGAGGCAGTATCACTATGGAAGTAGATTGCCCAACCTTCCTTCTGAGGAGTGGCTGGTGGATTTGAACCGCCAGCCTTCTGGTTAGCAGTCAAGTGCCTTAGGCACTACACTACCAGAGCTCCTTGTTATGTTAGCATCCAGTCTTATTTAAGGGCACTACATGTTACTTTCTATTCCCCCCATCACAAGCTGTAGATAGTAGGCCTGGGCTCACTCTTGACTTGCTGCTTTGAGACTTCTTGGGTCATAGGATTAGGGATGGGACCAAGTAAGGTCAACCCTTATCCCCATGGCAGGCTCATAGTTATCCCTGCCATGAAATCCATGCTTTGTTTTTCTTTAAATTATTTTCTGTGATTTTAAGGTTGCCTCTAGGCATAGGCTCACATAGTTTCTCTGTGGGACATACATCAATACAATGGCAAAGCTATAGATTTGGCAAAATTTTATTCTCTCTTGGTTAATGGGTTAGAAAGGTCAATAACAATCAAGATGTATCTTGTGCAGGGACCAGTAATGACTGCTATAAAGGAATTCAAAGGGAAGCTCTTGCTAGTAGTACATGGTGCAGAGACAACATATTTAAAACAAATTAAAAACACAATTGCAGAACAATGTAACAAGGCCTGTACAAATAAATTAGCAAAAGCCAAGAACCTGTGACCTGATGGGAGAGAGGTTAGAGTTGGGTGGAGTTAGTCAAGGACTTTCAGGAAAAGGTGAGTTTTGAAGGAAGGGAGGGGTATAGGTGTGCTGAAAAGGATGAGTTCATTCCTGCAATAGAGAATGACTTGAGCAATGGTAGAGAAGAGAGAATGAGCAAACAGTATGGGCCAAATGGTAAGCAGGTCAGCCGGCTAAGATTAGAGAATTTATGTTATATAAGGTAAGAAGAAACAAGTTTGGAAAAATGGCAGGAACAGTTCATAGGGACTAGATTCCGACTCATAGTGACCCTATAAGTCAGAGTGAACCTGCCCCACGGGGTTTCCAAGGCTGTAACTCTTTACAGGAGCAGCCTGCCTCATCTTTCTCCCGCAGAGTGACTGGTAGGTTTGAACCAATGACGTTTTGGTTAGCAGCTGAATGCTTTAACCATTATGCCAACAGAACTCCCACGTGGAGAGCTTTAAATGGTTATAAATCAAATTTACTTTAACAGGCAAGAGAGAACCTTGTAGTTCCCTTATAATAAAAATAACTTTAAGAAGCTAAAACAGATTAGAATAAATAAAAACTGGAAAGTTAGAAAGATAGGGAAATTTCTGCAAAATTCTCCAGGAGAGGAAAAATACCTTGTTCCAAAGTCAACTCTGCCACTTATTAACTATGTGACCTCGGGCAAGGCATTGAATCTGTGTGCCTGTTTCCTCATCGGTAAAACAGTGATAGATAATGGTGTCTTCCTCACAGAGTTGCTGAGAGGTTAAACAAGGTAATACGTGAAGTGTTTAGTAAACACTCAATAAATGTTAGCTATTATTACTCAAGAAATGGTCATAGAAATGCATCCAAGTGACAAAAGGCCCTGTCCCACGTTAGTCTGAAAAGATTGCAGCTTTTCAGTCCGTCCTTTTAAAAGATATGTAGGATTCAAAGGCGAATGCGTAGGTCTAATGTCCAAGTCTATGCTGCCTCATATAACAGTTACTACGTATATGCGGCTATTGTTGTTGTTGTTGTTATGTGCCGTCGAGTCGGCCCCGACTCATAGCGACCCCTCCTTGGGTTTCCGAGGCAGTATCACTACGGAAGTAGGATTGCCCAACCTTCCTTCCGAGGAGTGGCTGGTGGGTTTGAACCGCCTATTAAGCACCTGAAATGTGGCTAGTCCAAATTGAGCTGTGCTATAAGTGTAAATCACATACCAGATTTTAAAGACGTATTAACAAATAATGTAAAATATCTCATTAATATATTTTTACATTGATTTCATGTTGAAATGATATTTGAATATGTTGGATTAAAGAAGATGTGTTGCTGTTAGATGCTGTTAAGTTGAATCCAACTCATTGTGACTCCATGTACAACAGAATGAAACACTGCCCAGTCCCACACTATCTTCACAGTTGTTGCTATGTTTGAGCACACTGTTGCAACCACTGTGTCAATCTATCTCATTAAGGGTTTTCCTCTCTTTTTCCTGACCCTCTCCTTTACCAGGCTGGCAGTTCAAACCAACCAGCCACTCCTTGGAAGGAAGGTTGGGCAATCTATTTCCATAGTGATACTGCCTCGGAAACCCAAGGAGGGGTTGCTAGTAGTCAGGTCTGACTCGACGGCAAATAACAACAACTCCTTTACCAAGCATGATGTCCTTCTCCAGGGACTGATCCTTCCTGATAACATGTCCAAAATATGTGAGATGAAGTCTTACCATCCTTGCTTCTAGGGAGCATTCTGGCTGTCCTTCCAAGACAGATTTGTTTGTTCTTCTGGAAGTCAATGGTATTGTATTCAATATTCTTCACCAATACTGTAATTCAAAGGCATCACTTCTTCTCTGGTCTTCCTTATTCATTGCCCAGCTTTTGAATGCATATGGAGTGATTGATAATACCATGGCTTGGGTCAGGTGCATATTAGTCCTCAAAGCGACATCTCTGCTCTTTAACACTATAAAGAGGTCTTTTGCAGCAGTTATGTCCAATGCAGTATGTCATTTGATTTCTTGATTGGTGCTTCCATGGGTGTTGATTGTGGATACAAGTAAAATAAAATCCTTGACAATTTCAATCTTTTCTCCATTTATCAAGATATTGCTTATTGGTCCAGTTGTGAGGATTTTTGTTTTATGTTGAGGTATAATTAATAATGAAAGCTATATTCTTTGATCTTCATCAGTAATTGCTTCAGGTTCTCTTCATTTTGAGAAAGGTTGTGTCAGCTGCATAATGCTGGTTTTTAATGAATCTCCTTTCAATCCTGATACCATGTTCTTCATATAGTCCAGCTTCTCAGATTATTTGCTCAGCATACAGACGAGTAAGTATGGTGAAACAATACAAATCCTTATTGCAAAAACGGCAAGGAGGCCACATGTTCTGACCTCCTCTAACCCTACAAGGGGAAGGCAGGATTACCAGCAGTAATCCAAGGCCTATTACTGCAAGGCCAGACATGCTGCCTCCCTCCAGCCCTTTCACCAACCGTTCCTCCCA